CAGTGAAATCAGCGGTGATGTAAGCTGCGGGCACAGGGCAAAGCAGGCTAGGTACGGTTATGCGATTTGTGATTTAACGATTTGTAACGATCAGAACTGTTGGTACTTGCATAAATCAGGCGGTGATAAAAGTACCTCGTGTTTTTTGCATTTTAATTGGTTATGTCCCCATATCGTGACCGGACTGGAGCATAGAGGGAGGGCAGGCCCCAATGAGGAGCAGCAAGTGCTGGAGCTGGACGGGGCAGCTTTAGTTACTCGCCGTCCATACCCGAACAGTCCATGGCGTCTGCAGCGTTGGAGGCTAAAGAAAAATGATGATTTTGCAGGCCAAGGAGGACTGCTTCGACAGCAGAGCAGGTCTCTTGGTGTTTTTGCTATCACTGATTGAAAGTACACAGACTTATTGGCTCGCGGAGCGCTACGATATTCCCTGTGAACATTTTGCAATGCACCGCAGCATTGCTAAACTGCCCGCAAAATTCCCGTTTTTCCCCTCGCCACAGCCTCCGGCGTTTGTTAACAGTGATTGTCTCCCAATATTTCTTTTGGGTTCATCCTCCAGTAACTCATTCAACGCCCAGCTTCATCAATTAAGTAAGTATACCATTCAACCAAAAGAACATCTCCAGCACGTCCTGTCCTGTCTCTGGACTTTCCCCCGCGGACCCGGGCTCTTGGATCCCCAGTGCCCTCCACTTTTACTCCACACCTCCACCAGTTAGTACGTCTACACTGGCAAGTGACCTACTCCGTCGCTGCTTCTGGCAATGTTCGGCATGCCCCCTCGACCTCACATCCTTCCTGTACTCGTACGTTCTTCAAGGCACAACGCACGATCCTCCGACCGAGCGTCGCGGCCGTTTTTATCATTAATCGCCACCATACGACTATCTGAATTCAACGCCCAGGTACATGAACCCTTCCGCTGTCTCCGCAGCAGCTTTGGCGACCTCTGGGCGGGACGATTGACTTGGCAAATTGCAGAGAAGCATTCCACGCGACGCTATTTACCTATTCGAATTCATCGACTACTAAATTAGCCAAGCTTTTGAGGACGCATCGCAGTCAAACACATCTCTTACTGGATAACCTCGCGGCGACTCGAGCTCTGTTTCCATTACTGGGAAGCCAGGCTCGGACGATTGTTGCTAGACATCTCCCGACCGTATTACATGGTCGTCGAACCGTGGAAATCTTACTATGTAGCCTGACGATGAGCATACTCGGAATTCCTGCGACGTCGATAATTAAGCAGTCCTATTAGGGTCTTGCTCCACGTCTCATATGCTTACGCGGCTAAGATGCCTTCAAATCCAAATAGTTCACATAGAACCCCGCCACCACTAACCGATTATTCTCTCCATCTCAATTCCCTCACCGGCAGTCATGAGACGGGGCCAAGCGACCCACTAGAGTGGCATAATGACTCGAGCCATAACGCGACGGCCAACAACGATGCCATAGACGGTATGCACTACCTCTAGCCGACTCATAGTAGAGTAGAAGAAACTGATATGAAGCTCTAGTTAATGTCCCCTTTTACCGGAAAGAATCTGATTTATGGAATCCGGAGAAGCCAGACTTGCATACTCAATACCAGGCCGCCCCTCCTATACCCATCACGGCGCACAGCAGTAGCGTTGATGACTACCGCAGCGTCATCGACGACTTAACACTCGAGATTCAACAGCTTAGGAAGGAACTCAAGCGCTATAAGCAACCGGGTCCGGCCCTGCTCCATAAAGACAAGCTGTTTGAGATCAAGGTTCATGGGCTGCCCCAAAAGAAAAAGAGAGAACTCGAAGCCATACTGAGAGGCCTTACCACCGATCTCGATGGGTCTCCAGAGGTGTCATCATTGCAAAAAAGGACAAAGATATCCCCCCACAACCGCGATCACATATACTCCAAATCTGGTATTCAGCGCAAACGTGCTCCTTCCTCTCCAGGTTCCAGCCTCCGGCTAGCTGACTCCGCTTATGCCTCCATGTCGGCTGGTGCCGAGTCTTCAAGCACCTCTTTTAACCTCCCCATCTTGACTTCAACCCAATCATCAAAGGGCAAGGTCGAGGATCATCTACGAGATGTTCCCGACGGCCTGTACCCACGACACGTAATCATGACAGACAAGGACCGGAAGAGTCTCGTTGTTCGTCGTCTCGAACAGCTCTTCACAGGCAGAAGTAACGGTGCCGATATCTCGAAGATTCCGCTTATGCGGCCGGGTGGCAGCTTCATCATGGCGCGCGTTGTAGCAGACGCACAGGTGGCGGACCCATCATCTGCCCACGAACCTCCCACTCGTGTAACTGAGCCTATCCGGGAAGCCAGAATCCTCCCTCTAGAACAACGATCTCGCACTTGGGGAAACAAGTGTCATTCAAGTGACCGTGGGTCGGCTTCTGATCCCAATAATGACAACATGGAGACCGGAGGCAATGATAAAGGCTTGGTCTCTGGTACCAAGCCGTTTCCCCCACTCCCGCTTCTGCCAAAACAGCGACCAACGCGACCTTGTGATTTGGACCCCAATCGTGCTCAGATTCCGTCTGAGAATATGAACTACATCCGGCATTTGGACCTACTGCTGCCCGAGTTATTGCCTGGACAGCAGAGTATCCAGGACGTCCACCTAGACGCTGAAGGCTGGGTGTCCTTGAACCTGCTGTACAACTTGGCCCAGCTCCACTTGATCAATGTGACACCAGACTTCGTTCGCTCCGCCGTATCCGGAATCAGCACCAGATTTCAACTATCCCCTGACGGGCATAAAATTCGATGGCGAGGCGGATTCAAAGATACCAAGTTCAGTAGCCACAGCTCTGGCTACGACTCGCAAGAAAGTCCTTCTTTCGACGATATCCAGGGTTTGGAAAAGAAACGTAAATGTGAAAAGACTAGCCCATTTATTAGCAATGAATCCCAGTCCTGCGGCTCAAGTAAGGATATGCCTGCATTTGATCCACAGCTTTGCGCTCGAGTTGAAAGTTTCCGCTACAAGCCATTGTTTGCTCAGCAGGATTCGTCAGATGGGCACACTTCACGGGGTGTGTCAGTTGGCTCTCCTATAGTCGTGGACGACGAAAATCCTGGCGAGTCGGACTTGGGCTTGAAATACTCCGCAGGGTCGGTTGGCAAATGGCAACGCCACGAAGGTGCTATCACATACTATAGCGGTGCACCTTTCTGCATTGATTTGACGGGTGATCCAGAAGCTCCATCACCAACCACTCGCACGCCCTCAAGCGCCCAAACTAGAAAGGATTCTCAGCAACCATCAGAATTCGCTCGGTCTCCTCGACGAACAAACATCCGGGTCCTTCATCGGCTACAGGCCGTTGACGGATCGATGCCAAGACCTGCGTCGGCAGACACCAGCCATGGGCGAGGATAATAATGAAGTTCAGGACCTGATAAACGATGACAGTGAACAAAGCAGCGATATCGAGCTGGATTTGATTTGGAACGACGATCAGCAGTACATGGGGCAACAGCCCTTGGAACCCTGCGGACTTGGTGGTGTTCTCCCCGATGATCACTTTATGGTAGTGGTCGATACGAAGCGGCCCAAGCAAGATATCCTCCCATGGTCTTCCGAGCCTCAGAGTGGGAGGTCGAATGAAAGCATAGAGGGGATCATTCATCGACGGGCAGCGATATTAACTTCTTGTCCCGCCCCCGGCGGTTCAGAAGCAAAAACAATCGAAGAATCACCGTCTATCGGGATTGAGTATCTGTCATGGCGCATCGAGAGACTGATACCAGTTCCACTGCCATCCCCTGCCAGGTTTTTCCCGCCGTTTAGCACCGATAATTCCACGTCCGGCGAAGATGATGACCTATCTATAGATGCAGATAATATTGGGTCGACAGAGGAGCATATGAGCTGATGGACGAACTCATGCCATTCCGATAGCTACTCTAAGGGCGTCGATGCTGGTGAAGTTCCAGACGAATTGTCTCTAGACTAGAACCTGTATCGTGTTAATCAAGAAACTGCGGCGAGGATCTTGCTTAACCGCATTCGGGAGGCCGCTGCTACACCGAACAAGAAAACCACTACAGGCATCGTCTAATGGGATAATTATAGTTCTGCTGCTAGTGCTGGAGCAGAAGAGAGCGAATATAATAACAGTTGCCAGGAGTTCCTGAACAACTCATGATTTTCCAGAGGGAAATATAGTCGCAGCACGAATATTCTAAGGACAAACTTACCCTCAAAATTATTTAATATCCTGTGTGGCTACTATTCTATTTACCGCTTATCTTCTTCGATATAAACGTGATGCCAATGATACATAGGGCATAGTAAAAAATTCATGTCTTTGCGGTAATAATAGGTGGGATAATGCTATTCCCGGCTATGGTTGATTTTTCCACCTCTAAAACCTCCAAAATTACTGGGGCTTTGGCACCACATAAAGCCAATAGGTATGACAGATGCAAAAGAAATCTTGTCATTCATTCGGGGCATCGCCGAACCAAGTTGCCGACGGTAAACTTGGATAAAATTAAGAAACACACACAACGTTGCCGTGTTACAGAATACGATGCACTTGGAACAATGTTAGCGGTGACCACATTTGGATTGAGCGATCCTCAGGAGTTCCGAACTTGTCTTCTCATTGAAGAGGCCTAGGCTCATCTCTGATGTTTATATGACGTAAAAACCATATGTCAGATTATTTAACCCTCCTGCAGCCCATGATTCGCCCATCTGCGAGATAAAAAGCAACAGGAGACGAGGACTGAAAGTAAAATCGGAGGGTGACCTCCACCGTTCCAGTCACGTAGTCTTTGTTAACATCGCCTCTCTCTAACAGTCTCTCTCTCCTAGACAAAACACGATTTCTCCTCAGGCGGCAGCGCTACTTTACTTTACGGGGCGAAATCAAATCAGGATCACTTATAATATCCCCCTCGCCACGGGGAAACCCTTAGCATGCCTGCAATCCCGCCAGGCTTCTTATGTCGAGTAAATACCGGCCACTGCTTCCCAATACTACACCAGCATCGTGTTCAATAGAAGATGCCTCCACCTTTCAGTCTCAATCTTCGCTTTCAGGCATAACCTAGATTCCCCGAGCAGGAACTCACGCGGCTTGTGAATCCTGTCGAAAGAAGAAGACGCGAGTAAGACCTCCCTTAACTTGGTTATTGATTCTATTCAGGAACCATGCAACTAAAACCAGTGCAGTGTACTGGCGGTAGGCCTATGTGTCAGCGCTGCATTGAAACCACCACAGTTTACATCTACCGCACCGATGAGAAGGAAAGAAGATATCAGCCCTGGAGAGTCGCAATAGCGAAGTGATCACCGAGTTGGAACAGCTACGCGAGCTATACGCCCTGATACACTCACGGTCAACTGAAGAGGCACAAGAGATCTTCAACTGCATACGGAAGAATAGTAATCCTATCGGAGTCTTACAGATGGCCAAGGCCTCAGACCTACTACTGCAGGGGACTTCGCCCTAAGAGACAGGCATGAAGGTACAGGCCAGGCGGGAATGTACTTTCGAGTAAGGCGGAACCCTTCATCATAACTGAGAACCAGACTCGCAGAAGATATTCGTATTCTCGTTCGAGATCGGAAGAGCAGCGGGATATAATATTAAGCCGTAAAGCTCTTCGTGGGTGTTGTAAATGAGCGATAATAATAAGACTGAGCTTTGAATATCGCTAAGTGCACGAAGCGCCTAGACGCCACTTCTACGATACTCTTGCTGCAGAGCTTGGAGTCAAGATTGTCGAGATAGGAAGCCCTAGCGGACCCCTTTCTAGGCGTTTCATCCGTAAGAACGTAACTTTGAACAGATTTAGAGAGTGAGTGAGGCGCCATCAAAATTCAGCTCTCTGTCTGGGTGTATTACTCTAGGCCCAATGGCATGGCCATCCAGCTCGACTGCCCCCACCTTTAACAGACTGCCGATCTATTTACGCTCACCACACAAAATCCCATGATTAGCATGGCCGGAAAATAAAAAATAAAAATAAAAATAATAGGTGAAGCTTGCAGACAGCACTAGATTTGGGACTCTATCAATATTGATACCAAGTTGATGTAATGAAAATACCTTACCCAGTCACTATGACGAGGACGTGACATACTTTCACTGTCAAAGAACTAACTACAATCCCTCTTTCTTTCTCCCCCTCCCTGATAATGAAAGCTAGAACAAACCAATGGATTCCATCTTTCGAACCATGTTATATATGACGGCCCTATGAAGCCAAGCTTTGATCATCATAACGCCCCTCTTTTGGTAGCGGATTTGTTTCTTAATCCCAATCCCATTCCTCATTCTCAATCATCGGTAGTTGCTACATCCCTATTGTCAGTCCCAATTTCAGCGAAAGGGGAAATTCACCTCCTCTCATTGGCTCATACCCTTGTAAAATCCTCTTTCACTGAAAGAGGGACAGTGTTTTAGAGGTCCCAGCAGAGTTTTTGATTAAAAGTGCGTGATAAACCTTCTCATTGGCTAGTTTGTTCCTTCGACGCAACCTGCGCAGCTAGCTTTACTTTTGTGGCGCAGACCGATACTACCTCATGGGCGCCTACGTGCAAATCGATATCTTGACCGCGCGTGTTTCGTGACCGCGCCGTAGAAATATAGCAAGGGCTCTACTGACGCCAGTATATATGCAACAAAGATTTCGCCCTCCTCGATTGATTCTTATTCTTGTCAGTCGTCCACTTTTGCCATGATGCATTGACTACTCTGGCGACCCTGACTATCTTCAAACATGTGGCCTCCAAAGCACCATGACCATCAGCCTGATGATCAGGACGTCGAACGGAATGAAACAACGCCATGGCGCAGCATACAGGATGGCCTCGCCTATTCCATAATCGTCCGCTTGGCATCAGTGCGGCTACAGCAAAAAAAGCCCAAACCAGCATGGAGCGAAGATTATCTGTTGGGCCAGTGGCACGATACAGCACTCCGAAGCCCAGCCACCGTAGAAGCTCAGCTATGAGTTATTCTCCGTGGTGTCGACCTCATAGTGGATCGAGCCAGGTTCACGCTAGTGAAGACTTTATATAGATCTCCATGCTGGCTGAATACGTATTGGAAAGACAGCTTTTGGCCCTGCGAATTCAAATTTGTAGATTGCCTGAGACGATATGTTGATATATGGAAATGGTTCATTTGTTATGTGTTTAGGGTTCTACATTTTAAAACACATCAGCAGCAAGAGATCTATAACTTATAACTCGGACGCGATGAAACCATCATGATGCGTCATATATTGTATCTGGTTGCTCTTTTATAGCGCGAGGCTGAATTCTCTAACTGGAATCTGGACGAAGCACTTGAGGAAGAAGCGGATAATTCCAGTGACTGTAATGATGAAGATGAAGATGAAGATGACGATGGTGACGGAGATGATGAGGAGTATATCAGCGAGTACGACGGAGTCAAGACTGAGAATCATTTCAACGAAAAAGATCAATTATTGCGATTTAAATGATGGTGAAGATGCGTTAACTTCAGATTCGGCGTTTTCTCTTCCGTCTGGTCTTTAGCTGCACTTATCTAAGGCCATTTTTCAACTTTCGATGATGTTCTGGACGTACCAGGAACCTACCGGAGATATGTCTGCATATGCCATTATTCACTATACAGCCTTCTTAAGAATCCAGAGACCGTCCCTTGCTTTTCATTCAGCCCATGGTTCATCACCTAGACTAGCTGCCCTCATGTGGATTAGGAGGCTTCTGTTCTTCGAGTACGCCGTCCCCGTTTATGCCTACAATAGTCTTGACTTGGCTTGGCCTTGTCGGACAGCTTATCCGTCACAACCCGGTCGCATTTCGTCCATCCGTTGCAAATATCTTCTACGGGGTTGCTATATACCATTCGGAGAGTTAATAGAACTGAAGGCATTTGGGAAATCTATCGTAAAACGAGAAGGAGTTCCAGGCAACCTAACTTGGGCTCCTGACGGCCGGTCGTTACAATTGGTGACGACAAAAAAGTCATGCTGTTAAAGTTTTGTGAGACCCATCACAAAGCCGTGAGAGTAGTACAAGAGCAGGTAGATGAGACAGCTTCATCCACTAGCAAAAGTTTCCTTGGGCAAGATATGTGCTCGAAACCAGGGCAAGTAGAACTTGTCTACCCAAGAAGTCAAGTGCCTTAGCCCTGCTATAACCTGATATAGTTCCTGTAACTTTGGGTGCTTCGAACAGTCGTTCAGCCCAAAAAGTAGTCCTTGAGCCGTGCCATGTCGACAGAACAAAATACCACCGATGACCCTGAACGATAACACCAGGGATGAATGGTAACCGGGATAGTATCTCGTCAGCCTGTTTTTCTGCTTCTTCCGAGCTGTGTAATGACGCAAGCACTGTTGAACGGAGGAATTTCCACTGCGCTGCATGCCATACCCCCATTTGGACCTCTGCAGTGTCTAGTCTTGGAGCTGGGCCCTTAGTCTCAATACTCAGGACAATGGGACGAAACTGCAGTCGCTCGAAGTCGGTATGATTGACCGTGGTGGTGGTGTTGTTCTGCAAAGAGACTCGAGCGCTTGAAAGGACTCTGGCTCCTCTTGTTGTAAGTCGACATATATACAAAAGTCAATCATTTTGGTTCTAATTGACTTGGGTAGCCACATTGAATGCGGCCGAGCAGTGGTGCTACGAGGCATGAGTTAGCATGGGTTTGACGAGTCGGTTGATGGATACTTACGACATTGTAAAGTTGTACAGTCCTCCTCTCGTCTTTCCAGGCTCTCTAAAGACAGCTTCTAGCAGACGCTGGTGTACTTCTGCATTCCAACCTGCTTCTTCATGCCCAAAGTCGCGACAGTCTTTGGCGCATTCATACACCAGCGACACTTCTTGTGGAGAAGGGATACGTCCTGGAAGATGCCCAAAGTCACTAGCACTTTTGAAAGAGAACCTCCAAGGGTGTGTGTCTTTGCCTTACAACATGGGGCTTCCAAGAATCTCATCACGCAGATTATCAGGGAGAAACTCAAGGCCACTCCCGATATCGTTCAAGTTCTGCAAAAGATGGTCAACCTCTGGGCTTGGAGGATTGTCAACTTTGAGATCGCGTATGTCGAAACCTGTATCGTCAATGCGTAGACGCATGATCTGCTGCTTCAATGGCGATGATGAGCGCGATGGATAGGATGAGGCGCTGGAACCCGACATTGACGACGCCTTTGACGGGTTGCGCCTGGGGGCTGTCTCATCTCGAGGTCTCCCAATAGGCGTTTTATAAGGGTCAGCAGGGTCTAGCCGTGGTCGTTTCCGGCCAGTTGGCGTCTCGTCCATATCGTTGGAGATAGTTGGTGGAGGACTTGGCGGTTGGAAGGCTTTGCGTTTATTACAGGGCTTGGGCTGCGATGATGATTGTAATTGCACTGGTAGATATTCAAATGATTCAGGTAATTGTTTGATCATGCGAAAACTCGTGAATCCGGCATTTTACTGTATAATTGCTGGTTATGTTGAATTGTGCTTGTCTTGCGTCTGTTGTTTGTTTTGATGGAGTACCCCTCTTTGACGCAGCAACGCCACGTTAATGTCTCAGGCAGAATGTTACTAGGCTACAACCACTAGTACTGTAACAAGGGCGGCTCGTTGTAATGTGCCGAATTACACAGAATCTGGCCCGTGCACGCGTCGAGGTTCTTCTAAATATAGGCAAGATCATCTTAACCCCACTTATTCTTCATTCTCACACTTATCTGACACTATTGTATACTAACCGACTCAAACTAGATACTGAATAAGATATAAAACTTCTTAGCATAATATAAAACTATATAATAGGACCTTAAGACTTGCCTTACTTATATTTCCATAAGTTCTCACACTTATCTGACGACGATGTCTGTTAGACTGCGTTGAACATTCTACTCTAGAATACCAGATAGTAACGGGCCCCGTTACTGTCCGGTCGTTTACAAAAACGCGGAACGGGGCCCGTTTCATAACACGGTGATCCGTGCCATCCTTGCTGAGTTCATTGCTTGTTGGCAAGAGCCAATCATAGGTAACTAAAATAAT